ATGTAATCGATCTGATTCCTATGCATACCATCAGGTGAAATCCAAGTATATAACCTGCGTTTATGTCTCTTAAAAAAGGTATTTGCTATGAATAAGTCATTGATTGTGCAAAATTCGAACATTCTCTCTCCAGCTCCATTTCTGTCACCGAGTCCATGTTTTCCAACTACTGAATCTTCTTCTTTGTAGTATGATCTTACTGCCATCTAGTTGGTTCCCATTTACAATAACCCCTCACTGGATTTCCAGGCCTATATAAACAGAAGGAAATTGTCAATCTTTCTCCAAGCAGCCATCAGTCGATTGGAACTGTAGGAGATACATGATTGTTTTGGTTATTAGCTCTATACATTGTGGACCACAGGGACCTCTGGTGGCCAAGTGGTAAGGAGCTTTGCTCTCCCAAAGGCATACAGTTCAAAGTCACCAGCTGTTCTGTAGGTGAAAGATGGGCAATTCCCTCTTATGCAATTTACTGCCTTTGAAAACCTACTGGAGGGTCAGCTATGAGTTGGTTCTGCCTCGATGGCACACAACAGCAAAGGTCATCAGCAAGCCTCCAGAAATGAAGCTCTTCTGGGCCAACAGTACAATTTAGAGTCCAAATACGGAATCTAACAGTGTTTGACTCCAATATTGCTTTTGTTCCCTACCCAATAAATGACTCTCTTATATTACTTCCCTCTTTTGTTCTCTACTGTTTCAGCCAGAAGACATGCTCTGTTCATCCTTCTAAGGTACTGTGACTTTTTTCTTCCTTCAACCCCTTGTCTGGCTTTTTTTTCTTTCTTTCTTTCTTCAACTCTTTAATCTGGATTTCCTTTGCCCTTTTTCTGATTAGTTCTTATTCTTCTTTTAAGAATCATCTGGAATATAACCTCTTTTACCTCTGCTACGGAGTAGTAAAAATTTCCTTACCTACAACTCCATAATATTTGAGGGGGCCTACCACATCATGACTGGAAGAGATCTATATTTGTTCCCATTCCAAAGAAAGGTGACCCAACTGAGTGTGGAAACTACAGAACAGTGTCATTGATTTCACATGCAAGCAAGATTCTACTGAAGATTATCCAAAAACGATTAGAACAGCACATCAGCAGAGAATTGCCGGAAGTCCAGGCTGGGTTTAGAAGGGGTCGTGGTACTAGGGATATTGTTGCCGATGTTAGATGGATCTTGGCTGAAAGCAAGGAATACCAGAAGAATGTCTATCTGTGTTTCATTGATTATGCAAAGGCATTTGACTGTGTGGATCATAACAAACTGTGGCTGACTCTGAGAAGAATGGGAATCCCAGAACATTTAATTGTGCTAATGCGAAACCTATACTTGGACCAAGAGGCAGTAGTCAGAACAGAGCAGGGTAACACGGCACGGTTCAAAATTGGGAAGGGTGTATGCCAGGGATGCATCCTGTCTCCATACCTTTTCAACATGTATGCAGAGCAGATTATCCGAGAGGCTGGGCTCTATGAGGAGAATTGTGGCATCAGGATTGGTGGAAGATGTATTAACAATCTGCATTATGCAGATGACACAACCCTGCTTGCTGAAACTGAGGAGGACCTCATGCACTTGCTGCGAAGGCTCAAGGACTGCAAGCCTTCAGTATGGACTGAGGCTCAATGTCAAGAAGACAAAGATTCTCACCACTGGACCAATTGACAGCGTCAGGATGGATGGCGAAGAGATTGAGACTGTTCACAGCTTCAGTTTGCTCGGCTCCACAGTCAACACTCTTGGCACCAGCAGTCAGGAAATCAAAAAGTGTATCACGATGGGAAAGTCTGCTGTTAGGGACCTCTCTAAAGTACTCAGGAGCAAAGGTGTCTCTCTGGAGACTAAGGTGTGCCTGATACAGGCCATGGTCTTTGCAATCGCTTGTTATTCATCAGAGAGTTGGACAATGACTAGGGAGGACAGAAGGAGAGTTGATGCTTTTGAGCTGTGGTGCTGGAGAAGGGTACTGAATGTACCATGGACTGCCAGGAAAACAAACAGATTCATCTTGGAGAGGATTAAACCAAGCTACTCCTTGGAGGCAAGTATTCTGGGGCTTCGTCTGACATAATTTGGACATGTTGCCAGGAGGGATGGGTCCTTGGAGAGGGACATAATGCTTGGAAGGGTGGATGGACAGCGCAGGAAGGGAAGACCGTCCATGAGATGGACTGATTTGGTGACTGGGGTAATTGGGATGGGCGTGTCAGAGGCAGTGTGGTTGGCACAGGATAGAGCAGGGTTTAGGGCTGTTGTGCATAGGGTCGCTATAAGTAGCAAACAACTCGACGGCACATAACAACAAAAACAACCACCACATCATGTTGTGCTAATATAAGCTAACAGGAATTTCTAAAAGACTCTGCATGATTATTACCTTAGTATTGCCTCTTCTACATAACTTAGCACAGTATCAAGTGCCAGATGAGAGGCAATGTGGGGCACAACTAGACTTAGATATGATTTCACATTGCATTACAGACTCGGTCTGTGACCTAGGGCAACAAAACCCCTTTAAGACTTATTAGGGATTAAACGAGATAATGCATGCCAACTATTTAGCCAAAGTTATGACAAAGAGTTTGTACTCAGTGGAACTGAGCTATTATTAACTTAGAAGAAGCAACGTTTTGTATTTCTATGTTGCTATTATGTATACTGGGAGCAACATATATAGGGAGCACTTATGGCCTAGTGGCAAGAAGCTGTGCTGCAATCCTGAAGGCACATGGTTTGAATCCATAAGGTGCTTAGTAGAAAAAGGATGGGCAATCTCCTTCTGTGAATTAACTGACTCTGAAAGTCCACAGGAGGATCAACTATGGGTTGGTTCCAACACTATGGTACACAACAACAATTTTGAATATAATGAACAAAGCTCTGTGACATCGTCTCTACCTTCCAAGATTTTACCGTCTGGAGAGGAGAGAAAAAAGACAAAATTTTAGGGTGTGACTCAAAGACATTTTATTGATTGAAAAAAATAACGGGAAACATTATGGAAAAGGGAGCACCTCGCTAAGTCTCAAATTCTTCATCTCCACCTCCTTCTCATTAAACGAACCTTCTCCCAGGAATAAAATAAAAGTTAAATGTAACTAAGACTGGTATTCAGCAACTATATAATGGTAAAGATTACTGGATTTTCAAACAATAAAATATTTCCAGAGTAGAGAGCAAATTGCATTGTTCTGAAATTAACCTGAACCTACTATTTGGTGGGTCCCAGACAATCTCTCAGAACTTTCATGATTCAGGAACTAAAGAAGTAATGCCTGGCATGGCAGAGTTTCCAGAACTTGGTCCAGTGCTCTGGCTTGAGTCTAACCTGACTGGTCAGAATCCATACCGATTATGAAATGCTTTAGCTATTAGTTCTAAAAAGAATACTATATTCAATTCAGGGCCACTGCTTTTTCCCCTCTACTTTTCAGTCCAAATGATTTGGGCCCATCTCAAAACTCAATTTTTGCACCGCTGGAGAAAGAGGGGCAATCTCCTCCTCCTATGCCAGCTGGATCTGACTTGATGGCACACAACAAAAGAAAATGGGGGGAAAAGGAACCATAAAAAGAAATAAAAACTCAATTCAATTAGGGAAACTTTTATCTTTTCCTTTGAAAAAAGTGAATTTTAGAGTTCTGAAGAACCAATTCCCAAACCTGTCTAGGTAAGTAAACTAAAAGTAAACACAACAAAAAATTATTAACTTTTGCCTAAGGTTTTTATTTTTTCCTTGTTGTGTACCATCTAGTCAGATCCTTCTGGCACAGGAGGAGACTGTCCCTCCTTCTCTAGCAAAGCATCTGGTGGATTCAAACCGTGTGCCTTCGGGATTGCCCGCCTTCGGGATTGCCATGCAGCTTCTTGCCACTAGGCTACCAGAGCTCAGTTTGTTGTTTTTTGGGGTTTATTTTTAATTCTTCTTCTTCTTTGTTACAAAAAAACTAGGAAAAATGAGTTTTTAGATGTGGAATATGGGGGATAATTTTCCCTTCTTATGATAACTGCAATGTGACTTGTTTTAGTATTATCAATGCAAATACATATAAGGACCAAATATTGGGAATGCCACAGCATTATTCTTTTTTTAAACTTCAGCTTTATCAACAAGATGGCATCCATGACTTGGGAAATCACTCAATTCTTGAAACAGTCATGTATTATTCTGGTACAGTATACTTAATTTTTTTTTAAAGTCAGCAAATGTTTAGTAGTTTAATGTAGCCATCATTCTGTTACCCTTCACCCAGCAGGCTCTTCTGGAGCAAGTGTACAAACAGAAAATGGAAAAGAATGGAATCTGTGCTGAGAAGCAGAAGGAAGGCACTCACAGATGGATGAACTAAAAGCTCCACCAACCAGTTCTCTATGAAAAGAAACTTTTATAAAAAAGAAACTAATAGAGCCAATGCATTGTTTAAGCTCTGAGGAGTCCTAACCAGACATGAACCAGTCATAGGAAGGCACACTGGTAAAATGCTCAAAGGACTTTATAATAGGATATGTATTCCATAATCTAAACTCCCCTCTTATTAATATTATGAGTTATATTCCGAAGATCTAGCAGATTTTTATGTCAGAGAAAGAAATAAGAAATGCAAGAGTCACTGGTACTCAAAATTACTGTCTTTATAAAGTAGGAAAAAAGAAGAAAAAAAAAATAAAAACAACGCACAAATAAAAAAAAGAAAGAAAACAAGAGAAAAAAAGAGTAACATTATGCTGTATGTTGTTGTTGCTGATAGCTGTTGAGTCTGAAAGAATTCACAGTTGGCCCTCCAGTGGGTTTTCAGAGGCTAAAAATTTCATGGTAGGAGACTAGCTATCTTTCCCCCTTGAGCAATTAATAGATTAAAACCATTTGCTTTGTTTGATAGTGCAACTCCTGACTCACTAGGCCACCAGAGCTCTGTTAAACTCAACACTACATTTTTTTTATTAAATTTTATTAGTTTTAATGAACATTTACAGAGATTTTGGGTTTTCATTCATTCATTGTCAACACTACATTTAAAACGGGCTTATACACAGTGGAGACGGTGAGGATGGCTCACGATCAGGGAAGGTCTTAGTCTGTTATTCATAGAGTTGTTATGAATATGAATTGACTTGATAGCACCTAACAACAAATTTTAAAAAGGATGACACTATTGACAACAATCCGGAACAAGAGGTGCATTGCAAAGTGGAGTAGGGGAGGGGAAAGGAAGAGAAATGTGTAACAATAAAGGAGTGAAAATATTTTCTATAAACTTTCACTAAAATGACAATACAGTTTATTAAAAGAAAAAAAAATAAAAGGATGACCCTGAGAAAGTTTGCTTTGCAAAACAAAAAATTTGCACATACAAATAAGTTCTTTGAGGAAAAAGAGTTAAGGATATAAGAAGTATAAGGACTATCACACTTGACAAGAATCACTTTGACACACAACCACAAAGGGCCTTAGATCAAAGTCATCTCCTTCGCAATCACTGATGATCTTCCTTACAGATGTTTCTATAAGTCATTTTGGGACATTTAAGAATTGATTTATGAGTACCAAGGAAAGCAACCGACAGTCTTAATAAGAATCAGAGATATTGTTTGTTATGAACAAAATTATGTCCCTCCAAAATACATGTGGAAATTCTAACCCATAGCCCTCTAAATATGAGCCCATTTATAAAGAGAGGGCTTTCTTTTTTTTTTTTTTAAGAGAGGGTTTTCTTATGTTAATGAAGCCATGCCAATTGGGAAGGACCTAGACCTAATCATTAAATTATAAAAATCATTAAGGTTATAAAAAGACTAGAAGAGACAGTGAGATACAGAGAGACACACACAGGGAGAAGACAGACACCTTGGGAAGACCAGAAAACACCTAGACCACAGAACAGGAAGGCATCAACACAACTGCTCGGCTATGGCACTCTCATTTCTGTCTCAAATACTGTGTGAGATAATAAATTTTTGCTGATTTAGGCCTCTAATTATTGGAACAACTTGATATTCTACAAAAGAAAAGAAAAAAATTATAGTTAACCCAAATACTGTGATTTCCCCCCCCCTCAATAATTCTAGAAATAACTTTTTTAACACTACTTTTGAAGAGATCATTTTGCCTCAAAATTAGGGATGACAGAGGGCTGCCAGCAAGGGCGGCTCTAAAAGAAAGCAGTCAGTCAGCATCTCCAATGAGTATTCTGACGTCATAGTAAGTCAAGTGGCTCAGGCATAAAGAACTACCTTAATGTTATTGAGGTTGACTTCTTGTAGGCTGGCATCATTGGCTTTCATCTGCTGCAGACTTAATTCCACATTCGTGGGGTTGGGTGGTTCCTCAAACACTGGCTTAACTTTTTCACCTTTGACCACATCTAAAACACAAAGGACATTTTTAAAAAGAAAGTATGTTCATCTTGTATCCTGCTACTTTGCTGAACTGGGTGACTATTTCCAACTATTAGAATGTGCAATAGCTTTCCTACTGAAATCTTCAGGATTTTCTAAGTATACAATTATATCATCTGCAAACAGAGATAGTTTTACTTCCTCTTTGCCAATCTGTAATACCTCTTACATATAAAGTCTCTCCTATCAAAGAAGACTTCCCCCAAAGTAACATTTACTTTCTATATTTATTTATATATTACTGATGTTAACAATACGATATCAATGATAGTAAGAGTTACTCTTTGAGCAAACAAAGGAAGAGGTTATAGCTTCGATTTCATTTGGAAATCTACTGTTTCTCAATCATAAAGCTAAATGTCAATGGCTCACAGCAACTGGAGCCCAAAGTAGAGAAGACTCTACAGCAAATTTCAGTCCCAACAAGAGCGTGCATTGGCAGGTACTGCTGCTCCTTATGGGCCTCTTACATAACTATCATCCTTCGTTTTCTACTTCAGTAAGTTTTAGTTTTAGTTTAAGTTTAGTTTTAGCAATCTCCTCCTATGCCAGTCGGATCCAATTTGATGGCACACAACAAAATTTTTAAAAAAAGAATAAAAAAATAATGAATGGAAGTATTCCCAAAAGCAGTTTAACAAAATACTTGCAAGAGGGACTAATGTTCCAAGATATTTGTAAGCTCTTATTAATCAGTTGAGATAAAATTCAAATTAAAATTATATGAAGAAGAAACTCTGTCCCTTTATCCAATAAATATAAAAAGTAAACTTTTAAAGATGTCACTGAGATATTATACTTCTTCATTCAATTAGCAAAAAATATAAAAAAGAATGTTGAGATCTGGCAACAAGGTGGAAAAAGTAGCTTCAAAATATTATTGGTACTGTACTATGTAAAGTAGTACAAGCACTGGGGAGAATAATTTGCCATAATATATAAAAATTTGAAATGTGTATAATCTATGACCTAGACATTTCACATCCAGAAGTCCAACTTATTTGAAAAATAGCTTACATACATAAAGATAAGTATTCACATGCACTCACAGAAATTTTTTGTTTTTTAATTTTAATTTTCTTTTTTTTAAAAAAAGGCCCATCAATGTGAAAATGGTTAAATTACAGCATAATCACCTAACAAAACACTATACATTCATTGAAAAAATGAGATTAACCTACACATACTTATAAGAGCTCCATGATTTGAAAAAAGATATATGTACACATCTGTAAATATTAAAACTCCCGAAGTTATGCATACCACCTTAATACACATTTTTCATGTATTCAATGAATTTTAAAAAAATTTGGTAAAATTGGTGACAGCTGAGATTGGAAACTGTTGGGGGTTTTTTTCCCCACCACAAGTATATACTAAGTCATTTGACACTAGAAAGAAAAAATAATAAAAGGAATACTGCTCAGTATCTGGATAAATTATCCACTTTGTTGGTTAGTAATCAGATTGCTAAAACTAAACAGTGTCTCCATCCTCTCAGCTCTCATTGTCACTGATAAGGAAGCAGACTCATAGCAGACCACCCAGCAGATATTCTGAGGCTGTAAGTAGCAGGAAGGAGAATGTCCAGCTTTCTCATGTAGAGAGTCAAACCACTGGAGAGGCATCACCTTTAGATTAATCTCGGTCATTATTGTTGCTAGGTGCCATCAAGTATGACTCACAGTGACTCTATGAAAAACTGATCTGAACACTGTCCTGTCCCATGCCTTCCTCATAATCTCCGAAACACTCATGGGCATTGCCGTAGTCACCATGTCCACCTACCTGGTTGACGGTCTTCCTCTCTTTCGCATCCCTCCACCTTCCCAAGGCTGATGTCCCTCTCCATGGAATAACCTCTCCTAGCAACACGCCCAAAATATGTGAGATAAAGCTTCACCTTAGTCTCCAAGGAGCACTCTGTCTGTACCTTCTCCAAGACATGTCTCTTTGTTCTTTTGGCAGTCCATGGGATATTCAACACTTCTCCAACACCACAGTTCAAAACCATCAATTCTTCTTCTGTCATTCTTATTCACTGTCCAACCCTCAGATGCATAGCAAGTAACTGAAAAGACTGTGGCCTGAATCAGGTGCACCTTAATCCTCAAACTGGTATTATTACTTCTCAATAATTTTGAGAGGTTCCTGACTACAGAGTTGCCCATTGCAATACGTCTCTTGATTTCCTGAATGCTGGTACCAGGTGTACTGTGGATCCAAGTAAGATGAAGTCGTTGACAGTCTTAAAGCTTTCTCTGTCCATCATGATGTTGCCTATAAGTCCAATAGTAATGATTTTTGTTTTCTTGATGTTGAGATATAATCCATATCAAAGGTTGCAGTGTTTAATCTTTTACAGCAAGTGCTCCAAGCTCTCCTCACTTTCAGCAAGCAAGGTGTGTCATCCACATAACCAAGGTTATTGTCGGGTCTTCCTCCGACTCTAATGACACATTTGTCTTCATGGAATCCAGCTTCTCAAATAATTTGCTCAGCATATAGACTACATAGGTTTGGAATGGCAGTGAGCATCGAGAAGCCAAAATGAAGGGAAGAGATGTTGAAATAAAAGAGCTGAACAGAAAATTTCAAGGGGCAGCTCGAGAAGACAAATCAAACTACTATAAAGGAACGTGCAGAGACCTAGAACTGGAGAATAAAAAGGGAAGAACTCACTCTGCATTTCTCAAGCTGAAGGAATTGAAAAGTAAATTCAAGCCTCAAGTTGCAATACTTAGGGATACTATGGGTAAAATATTGAATAATCCAGGAAGTCATCAAGTGAATATGGAAGGAACACACAGAGTCACTGTACCAAAAATAATTATCCAACAATGAAATATTCCAGGAAGTATCATATATATGATCAAGAGTCAATGATAATGAAGGAAGAAGCAAAGTGGCACTGAAGGCACTGGAAACAATAAGGTCCCAGCTATCGATGGGATACCAATTGAAATGTTTCAAATGACAAATGCAGCCCTCTAAGTGCTCACCAGTCTATAGCAGGAAATTTGGAGAACAGCTATCTGGCTGATTGACTGGAAGAGACCCATATTTATTCCCAAGAAAAGTCATCTAACAGAACTTTGAAACTAACAAACAATATCCTTAACATCACAGGCAAGCAAAATGCTGCTAAGGATCATTAAAAAGACCTGGAGGACCTGCAGATCCTCATCAAGGTCAAAGGGAAGTGCACCACTGACCACATCTCAGCAGCTGGTCCCTGGCTCAAGTTCCGTGGGCACCTGGACAACATCTCCAACAACCTGCTCATTGGTGCCATCAACATTGAAAACGGCAAGGCCAACTCCGTGCGCAATGCTGTCACCCAGGAATTTGGCCCTGTCCCTGACACTGCCCGCTACTACAAGAAACACGGCATCAGGTGGGTGGTCATTGGAGACGAGAACTATGGCAAGGGTTTGAGCCGGGAGCACGCGGCCCTGGAGCCACGCCACCTGGGAAGCCGCATCATCATCACCAAGAGCTTCGCCAGGATCCACGAAACCAATCTGAAGAAGCAGGGCCTGCTGCCCCTCACCTTCGCCAACCCAGCTGACCACAACAAGATCCACCCCGTGGACAAGCTGACCATGCAGGGCCTGAAGGACTTTGCCCCTGGCAAGCCCCTCAAGTGTGTTATCAAGCACCCCAACGGGACCCAGGAGACCATTCTCTTGAACCACACCTTCAACGAGACCCAGATCGAGTGGTTCCGGGCTGGCAGCGCACTCAACCGGATGAAGGAGCTGCAGCACTGAGGCCGGCCTGCGCTTTGCCCCTGCCCACCATCCACCTGCCGTGGGGACCTGCTGCTCAAGAGTCCTCTGGGAGCGCAGTCCACGCATTTCATCAACTGGGCCTGAGCTGGGCCAGTCACAACGCCCTGCTCCAGGCAGCGTGGCCAGACACTCCTGCCTGCCCCTCCTCAGCCCACCCCTGTGACCATGGGTTTCTCAGGTGTCCTCGTTGGTCCCGATCACGAGCAGTTATTTATTTTTGATAATGAGACGCCCATCTATAAAGAAGTTTTAACTCCTGCCTGATCCATTCCCTGGTGGCTGAGGATTTCAAAGAACCTTTTGTTCTTGCAAAGAAACATGTATCATTTGATAGCCAAAAAAAAAAAAAAGCTGAAAGCAAACAATACCAGCAGAACGTCTATTTGTGCGTTATTGATTATGCAAAGGCATTTGACTATGTGGATCATGATAAATTATACCTAATATTTAGAAGAATGGAAATTCCAGAACACTTACTTGTGTTCATTAAAACTTATACCTAGACTTATTACCAACAGGCTGTTGTGAGAACAGAGCAAGAAAATACTGCATGGTTCAAAATAAAGAAAAGAGTGTGTCAGGGATGTATCCTTTCTCTATCTATCACATGTTGTTGTTAGGTGCCGTTACGCCAAGTATGACTCACAGCGACTCTATGAACAACAGATCGGAACCCTTTCCTAAGCCGCATCATCTTCACAATTCCTGACATATTAGAGTCCATTGTGGCAGTCACCATGTCAGTCACTATGTCAATCATGTCAGTCACCTGGTTGAGGGTCTTCTCCTTTGCCGACCCTCCACCCTTCCAATCATCATGTCCCTCTCCAAAGACTAGATAGCTTCTCCTAGCAACATGCCCCAAAATAATATAATAAATATAAGAAAGGCTGAGATTTCTCTGGGTTCTCAAAGCATCTGGGTCATCAAACTAAAAAATACACCCTTTGCTGTGAAGTCAATTCTGACTCACAGTAGCCCTGTAAGACAGAATAGCACTGCCCTATAGGGTTTCCAGAACAATGAATCTTTACACAAGCAAACTGCTGTAACTTTCTCAGTTAGCAGTCAAGAGTTTAACTCCCTTCCAGGACTGATGATAAAGGAAACTGATGAGCATGTTTAACTTGTGGTGACCACCAGGGTCTATCTGATGAATGGAAGTGGGAAGCATCAGAAGCCCCTCTCCAGGACATTAAAGGAAGCTGGTGAGTATGCGCAACTCATGGTGACTACCTAGGCCCACTTGATGAGTGGAAGCGGGAGACACGAGTAACGAAGAGATAAGCTGAGTCTGGACATGTTCCTTCAGCACTGTCCACGTAGCATGGTGAATGGATAAGTGAAGAAGGGTTGCTGGTTTAGTAGGAAGTCCTGAGGATCCCATAGGTGTTGATTTAGCCGATGGGGGGGCTAAGGGTGAGTGAAGGGACCGGCCTGTCTGAAACAAAGAAAGAAGTGTGGACTCCTGGGTTTGTGGCTGATGCCCATTTGGACCTAGCCACGGATGGCTGGGGATGCGTACCAGAACCCAAAGAGATGGAGAGAAGATGTTTCCTTCTACGTGCGCGTGTTGATTACTGTTATCTAATGGTTTGCTCTGGACTGGATCTTTGTTTGTAGATGCAGATGCTCAAAGTTTCAACTGTAATAGAATATTCTTCAGAGCAAAATACAGGCTTGTTTCCTCAGAGTACTTGTTTTATAGTTGTTGTTATATACCATCGAGCTGATTCCTGACTCATAACCACCCTATATACAACAGTTCTGAACCCTGCTCTATCTTGGGTCAATTTAATTGTTGCTGGCACACCTACTCCTATTTTAGATAAAATTCTTGTCTGTCAAATATTGTTCTAAAGCTGAACACCCAAATTAAGACAGACTAGGAGAAGGATTGGTCATTCACTTCCAAAATAATAGGCTTTAAAAAATCCTATGTACATGCACTGGTTTGATAGGACTGGACTACCTAAAATAGGGTGATTAAAACATAAGGCATAAGGTAGCTGGCTTACACACTTCCATAAATACAGATGATGGTAAGGGGAAGGTTGCTTCTTCAGATAACAAGAGTTAATGGCTAGAAAAGTCAAGGGATGGTCTGTGGTATTATAACTTTAAAAACTAGTTTTTATATTTTTAATATATTTTAATTTATTTTTCATTTTAATGAACATCTACAGAGATTTTTGGAATTCCATTCATTCATTGTTGCACCCTTCTCTCCACCCACCCCACCTCACCCCTCCCCGCCCCGTTTGCTCCTTTCCTTGAAAAGCAAAAGAAAAACTCCCTCATTGGTACACAATCCTCCCCGCACCTCCCCCAACCCCAACCCCAAATATAATCCACCTGCAACCCTCATTGCATACTCCTACGATAAACATAATGCCCTAAAATATAATACTTTTAAACTATTCTCTCCCCCATAGACTTCAATGCCGTAAACATATTTCATCTAGTTTTTCTCAGTCTTACAACCACCCCGATGCCAGCCTCATTCTACAACAGTGGAATTTTCTATCCATTGCATTTCCTGCTTGGTGTATGGTCTCCAACTATCTCAACTATGGACATATAGTCTTGCAAATCATCAACAGCTGTAGGACCAATATGAGAGCACTTTCCACACTGTGGAGAGACTGCGGAGAGAGTACTTTCTACCCTATGAGGAGAGACTGTGACAAAGTATAGCCTGACAACTCTGGTGATGGAGCCAAAGTTAAAGGCTCTGAACAACTGAATGAAGAGGTGACTTCTGACTGCATGAGACAAAGCTTTTTGGAAAACTGAGGAAACCACTGGTTTATGTGTGCTACTGAAATGAACCTAGATTTTTCCCTTATTAACTGAGAAGCTGTCTGAACTAAATACTAAGTGAGGAATTGTGTCTTGATGTTAGTTTGGCATGGGGATGTTGTTCACTAAACCTAGACTTTCACTATGTGATATTCTTTGTCTCTCCTACCCCTAACCTACTTCCGTAATAAATCCTCACAATCCTAAGTGAAGTCTGTAAGTAAATTTGCTAAGAACAATGTTATTGATGGGGACAGTTCCACTTTAAGAAGTGCATCGAAGTCAGACTCAGCTTTCTATTTCCTGTGGAGTGGCTGGTGGATTAGAAGTGCCAACCTTTAGGTTAACTATGCAACAAATAACACACCACACTATGAGGGCTCTTTTAATGACACATTGTTGTTTAATGATCCTATATACAATGGAACAAAAACTATGCACGATCCTGCACCATTCTTTTTTTTTTTTTTTGCACCACTCTTAAAATATCTGCTTTGTAAAATCCATTGTTCCAGTCATTGTGTCAATTCAGTTCATTAAGGGTCTTCAACTTTTTTCCCTGACCCTACTTTTCCAAGCATGATGTCCTTCTCCAGGGGCTAGCCTCTCCTGACGATCAAGTATGTGAGACAAAGTCTCACCATTCCTGAATCTTAAGGAGCACATTGGTTACACTTTCTCCAAGACAAATATGTTTGGTTTTTAGCCATCCATAGTATATTTAATACTCTTCACCAACACCACAGTTCAAAGACATATCAAAACTCAAACTTATTGCTGTTGAGTCAGAATGAATGCATAACTGATTTCCCATTGGGTTTCTGAGGCTGTACATTTTTCTGCAAGCCTTGTGGTTTACAGTCTGATAGGTTAAAACTACATCACAAAAGTTCCTTAAATAAAACACACAGTAGACATGTTGTTAAGAGAGGCCACAATCAACATTTCTGGCATCAGAAGTCAGGTAATCAAAAGACAAAATGCATTAGGAAAATCTGCAATCAAAGACCTCTCCAGAGTGCAAAAAATCAACAACGTCATTCTGGAGATTAAGGTGTGCCTGATCCAGGCCACAGTCTGCTTGCTATGTATCAGAGAACCGGACGATGACTAAGAATGAATGAGGAAGAGTCAATGCCTTTGAGTTGTGGTGCTAGTGAAGAGTACTGAACATACCATGGACTGCTAAGAGAACAAACGAGTTTGTTCTGAAGAGGGTGAAAACAAGTTACTCCTTGGAGGTAAGGATTTTGAAGCTCCACCTCATACACCATGGGCATGTTGCCAGAAGGGGCCAGTCCTTGGAGAAGGACAGCATGCTTGGAAGGATGGAAGGACAGTACAAGAGAGGAAGACCCTGGAGGAAATGGACCAATATAGTAATAGGGGTAATGGAGCTGGTGGTAAGGGTGTCAGTGACAGTGAGATTGGTTCAGAATACAACAGGGGTCAGAGGTACTAAGCAACTGGACAGTACATAACAACAACATTCCTTGGGCAGGGACATCATGTCTGAAAAGGTGGAGGGTTGGTAGAGAGGAAGATCTTCAGCCGGATGGATTGACAGTGACTGCAGCACCAGGCTCAAGCATGTCAGAGATGATGAGGCTGGCACAGAATAGGACAAGGTTCAAATATGCTGTTCATAGGTCACTATAAGTCACAGGCACATAACAAGAAGTTATTAAATAGATGACTGAAGCATGCATAAATACTGTTATTTTTAGGAGCTATTAAGTCAGCTCCAACCCATAATGGCCTCATGCAAATCTAATTAACTGTGTATTTTGCCAGGAAATGTTGACACAGAAGATAATGATCAAGTACTTGCTATGCTAGCAAGTCCATGGCAGTGTGTATTTTGTGTTCTCCTCAAATTCTAATGCCAAATAAATAACACCAGGATAGCAATGAGACTTCCTCAAGCTTACCATAGTTAGTGAAAACATGCAAGAACGTGAACAATTTATGAAGAACCGGCAATTTAATTGATTAAGTGAATAAATCTACTAAGAAAGTGTGTTCTGGACAGATGACTTATACTGTGAGACAGCACAGCCATCATCAATTATTCTGTTCTAGTTTGGTTGCCAGAGCCCAAGCATTTTGGGTAAATTGACAAAACTACCTTCAAAGCCTGCAGAATTCACCAGATGGTCCTGTCAACAGGGCATTCTCCTATCAGCATTGCCTCAAAGCTCAGAAGTTTGCAAAACCACAAATTTCACGTCAACTTACTTCTTACAGGTCCTTTGCCACTTTTGGTACTTGCTGTTTCCTCATCATACTTTGGGTTGTTGAGCAAATTGTGTACTCCAAGCACAGCTGAAAACAAAGGGAACCAGTGAAAAGACGGATTAGGAAAGCATGTTAGAATTTCCGCACTCTTAACCTTCCACAGAAGGGTAAGTCTTCATACCATAAAGATGTAACCTTCACTTCATAAAGATGAAATTTCTAGCTCCCCTTCCAGCACCTTCTTTCTCAAAGTATGTAGTCAATGCATAGAGTATTAAGTAAGCTCATTTAATAAACAAATTAACATACATTTTTCTAAGACCCCAGCAATCTTCACATGGCTATGGCTATTTATATAAAAACACTCACAAACCAAGGAATGAAATGGATTTAATTATGCTCACAAGTTATAAAAAACCCCCAAAATAAACACTAGCCTACTTATCACTCCAAGTTAAAGATATTCTAGCCCTCTAGCTTTATTATCTGTAAAATGAGCGGGTGAGACTGAGCCCAATGACATTTTCGTATCTAATGCTTTAGATTATTACTGCATTCTGCAAACAGCAGAAAGATCATAACTCTTTTCAATGATCGAGCTCTATATCTCTCCCAATTCTCTAAGCCAAGAGGAGGCGTCCTTTTCCCATTCAGAGTGTTACAGGGTGAGAAATAAGATACTGGAAATTAAGGTCAGATAACAAAATCTGCCATCAAGACCATCTTGATTGACAGCTATCCTAAAAGACAGAGCAGAACTGAATCTTGAGGTTTCTAAGGCTGTAAACCTTTATGGAAGTGGACTGCCACATCTTCCTCTCCTGGGGAGGCTGGTGCTTTCAAACCAGTTGAGTTTTTGAGTAGCAGCCAAATGTTTAACCACCATACTACCAGGACCCCTGAAGTTTCAGATAAACACACTGACATTTTCAATCTCTTGTATTACATGCCATTTGCAGCAGGAGGCAGCAGAGTACACAGGGTGTGGGGGAGGAGAAGGAATGCTGAGCAGGCATAAATGGCACCTGCCCACAGATTTCCCCTTGCTAATGAAATTATAGGTGACACAGTCCATCTGGAGAAGGAATCAGACAAGATAATAACCTTCCAACAGGTGGCAGAAGGGCACCCCTGAGATCCACATCAGCTCACTGAGTCTAGACATCTGAAGGAGGAGGGAGCAGCCCAGCACAAGAGCCGCTAACAGCTAGGATGTACAGGAAGTGAGTGGGACTTGGGAGCAACTGGTCTGCGCTTGAATTCTGACTTATATACAAACTGTGTGTGGAGATTACTAAGTACCTCTGAGTCTCAGGTTATTCTCTTGTAAAACAGGGAGAATACTTGTACTTTACTTTTTTTAGAAGGCTTAAGTAAATTCCTATGTGTCAAGCACAAAGTAAAACAAGAAATTGTCAGTATGTCTCTGGTCTAGTCTAGAGGGTGCCCTATTCGACAAACACAGGCCTCTGAAATCATCCTGTCTTGTTCTGGTTCCAGCCACACCAAATAGCCTTTGGATTATGAAATGGCCCCCATTTTCAAGTTTTCATTTTTATGTATTTCCTATAAATATGTCAGTCTCTATTACCTCGATCCCCTCACCCTCTTAATCTGATTACTTTTCTACACACCAAACGATCAAATCTCTGGACCAGCCAAGCTAAGAAGTAGGCTCTAAGTAGCAGGTGATCCTATCAAGACGGGACCAGTGTGGGAAAGAGGGTCTCAAGAGGTCGACGACCATTGCCTTGGTGAAAGCCTCTCCTTCTGTGCTATCTCTGTCACGACAATGTGGGCAGTATCTCGATGTTCTTTTTTAGCTAAGTCTCTATAGCTATATCTACTTGTAATCATCACGAAAGATCCACACTTAAGATTCTGCAGCATGGCTATAGAGAAGCTCAAAGGCTCCTGCCATGGGGATGACTGTGCAGCTGGAGGTCACAAAGTCAGACAAGAAAGTTCCCCAGAGAAGAGCAAAGCTGAGGACTTACCTGCAAGATCGTACAGTTCTGTGTCAGAGGCACTGGCCAAAGCTTCTTCCAGTTCTGGGTCAAGGGTCACTTTTTCTTCTTTGAGAGTTTCTACTGGTTTTTCTTTGGGGATAAAGACTCTCCCTTTAAATCAGAAGAAAAACAGAAAGAGTTGTGGTGCTGCTGTCTTATTGCTAGCAGTGGACTGATCAAAGAACACAGCTCTGGCCACTAACAGCCCTATCATCAGGCCACGGAGCATCCAACAAGAGTTCTGTAATTGCTGAGATGATGCTAGTGTCAATAATCCACTATTAGAACACATGCAGCAGGAGGCCTGCATTATCTCCAACACAGAGGCTCGAGGAGATTATGGTCCTAAAACAGAAAGGAAAAATACAGCTTCTCTTCCCTATCATTGACAGCATTGCCCTTCAACCTTGGCAACAGGGGCACCAGTACTTTAGAGGGTTCTGCTCCAGTCCCCTGAGGGTGAAAATCATGGGGTCAGAGTGACATCCTGATCCAGAGTATGGGCTTCCTTCTAGGGACATGGAGACCTGGAATTACCTGTCCAGACAGCTCTGGACCTGACCAAAGTCTGCATGACCTCGCCCCATGTCTGTCCTTCTGAAGGCAAATCATGCTGCTGGGACATGCACCTCCAGGCTAAGGGGACATGGACTGTGGGGGTGGTATGGAGCAGGGCAGGATATTTATTCTAAGGTGTCCAAACATGTGTTCCTCAGGCCCTGGGAGCATCAGATGGATGTACATTGTGACATGGAACTGTAAAGAAGTTCAGGAACATGAAATTTGAGCTTGACCTTCTAGTTATTATGAAGTTATATTTATAGAGCAGGACATATTTTAGAAATCTGTTAGCTTTCAAAGACTTCGAAAGACAGTATGTGCATGTCTATTTCTGTTCTTGCCTTAGGCTCTGCAAATATTGGAAGTAGGCCTATCCATACAGCCCTGAGCATTCCTGAAGGACACACTGGAAAATCCCCTACAGTTTTCTTCTGACACCAGCTCAGAAGAACCATCCTGTCAGGGTTCCAAGACTGTGAATCTTGAGGAGGACAGCTCGCCTCATCGTTCTCCCACAAAGTGATATCTCAACTGCCAACATTTTATTAAAGTCCAACACATTTAATCACACTACACCAGCAGGGGGGCTTGTGGACTGATTCACAGCTGATCCTTCAACTGTACAGGAGATTGGCCATCTTCCTGAGGAGCTGCTGGTGGATTTGAACAGCTAGATAACAGCTTCTGGGTTAGCTGCACAATTCTCTTCAGATAAGGCCAACCGAGTCCCTTGTGGACATTATATATGATGTGCCATCGAGTCTCCTGTCACTCATAGTGACCTTATGTACAACAGCTCAGAAGCCTGCCTGGTCCTGAGCCAGTCTCACTGATTCAAACACATCCACCCCTGTTGCCCCAGTTAATGTATCAATTCAGCTCATCCGGGGTCTTCCTCTCCTGCGTCATCCCTCCACCTTTCCAAGCATTGTGTCCTTCTCCAAGGACCGGTCCTTCCTGGCCACATGCCAAAAGTATGGAAGATGGAGCTTCAAAATCCTAGTCTCCAAGGAAAAACTTGGTTTCACCTTCTCCAAGACACACCTATTTGTTTTCCATGGTATATTCAAGACTCTTTTAAAGTACCACAACTCAAAGGCATCAATTCTTCTTGTCATCCTTAGTCATTGTCCAGTTCGCTGATGTACAGTAAGCAACTGCAAAGACCATGGCCTGGATTAGGCACACCTTAGTCTCTAGACTGACATCATTGCTTCTCATTACTCTGGAAAAGTTCCTAACAGGAGATTTACCTAACCCAATTTGTCTTTTGATTTCCTGACTACAGGTTTCAAAAGTGTTGATTGTGGAGCCAAGCAAGCTGTAACTGTTAACAACCTCAGTCTCTTCTCCATCTATCATGGTGTTGCCAATTGGCCCAGCAGACATTATATACATACATATATACATACATACATACATATATACATATACATATATATATATAAAGAGAAAGGGAGGGTCTGGTGTCCTAGTGGTAAGATGTTAGGAGTTTCACTGGCAACACAAAAGTATGTGCTTCAAATCCAATAGCTACTCTGAGAAGGATAGATAGCAATCCTTCCTGTGCAATTAATTGCCTCTGAAAACCCACCAGAGGATCAGCTATAAGTTGGTTCCAACTTGACAGTACACAACAATTATCATTTAAAGAATATTACTCAGACTAATATGCTGACCGGGGAGCAACCACCATCTCCTAGGGCACATCATGTTTTTGTTGTGTGCATTATATCACAACTAATCCATAGCTGACCCTCCAGAGGGTTTTCACAGTCAGCAAATAGCCAGGAAATTTTTCATCTTTCTTCCACGGAGCAGTTGCTAGTTTTGAACTGTATGTCTTTGGGATTGCAGTGCAGCCTCTTACAACCAGGCCTCTAGAACTCTCTAGGGCACACTATGTTGTTGTTGTGTACCGTCAAGTTGGAACTGACCCATAGCTGACCTTCCACTGGTTTTCAGAGTCAGTTAATCACACAGAAGGAGACTGCCCATCCTCCTCTCACAGAGTAGCTGGTGGATTCAAACTGCATGCCTTCTGGGTTGCTGCACAGCTTCTTGCCAACAGGCCAAAAGAGCTCACTAGGGCACACCACAGCAAGCCTGATTTAAAAGGAAAAACCATGATTGTGAAATTCAGAGATTATAAACTTGTGAACAGCAAGGCATTTCACACTTCCTACATACATACTCTTTGCTGTCATCTCCAACTGCATTCTGCCTCTCCACTTTCATTTGTTTTGCCCCCTAATCACTTCTGAAAATGCTAATATCTACACTCTGCCTTCCCAACTCAAACTTGTGGTCTAATGAATCACAGTGTTGGTAGGATGACAGGGTCTCTGCTCCTAATCTCCAGCCAGGCCAACAGCCATCACAGTAACATCCCAGACCTACTCACACTCTCTTCCAATCTCTCCTGACTTTTGATCGTGGCTTTTTCTCTCTTCCCTGGAACTGCTCTTACTTCTTAGACATGACTTTTGAAGTTGATCTCCTCAATTTGTGATCTCTGGGTTCTCTAAAGACTAACCTCTGTACTGCCTCCTCCTTGTTGTCACCTTAGATAAAACAAGATAGCTGGCTCTAGCTTCCACCAGGTAGGACAATTCCACTCTTTTCAGTTCACTAAGGCTCACTTAAAACACCCAAGTCTCATGAGAAAAGGTTACACCCAGAGTTAGTAACTCTCCTTCATGAATCTGTTCTGGAGACTTCCTCGGTTACAGGCGCTCCTTGCTTCCTGATGGCTTGCATGGTGGGGACCCAAAGGAAGAGAAGGGGGACACTGAATATGGTCACTCTAGGATACCCTGGACAAATTTACCACTGACTTACATCCTGCTTCCTGCCTCAGCATCACATAAAATGCCACATTCCCCAGACAGAAAGCAAGCATACTGGGAAACAAAGCAGAGACTGGTGAAGAAAAAGAAAAAAAAGTAACTGATCAATTAATAATATTCCAGACACTGGGGCTCCTGCCAGACTTAATTTTCATGGTGTGTGCATCCTGAAGCGTTTTCTTTCTGGCTCAGTTGATCTTGGTCTAGAGTGGAAATAGGATTTCGAAGTTCCTCTTGCCTTGTACTGTTACTCTAAACACCAGGTGCCAGGTGGCCCGACAGCTCTCAGAATTCAGGGCAATGACTGATGGTAGCCCATTCCTGGGGTCCAACTAAACAGTTCTAGGCAGATAAAGCTGCACAGGAGGGTTAAGTCTCCTGGTACAGAGCACTCAGGAAAGACGGTGTGGTCTCCAAGACCACATACGCACCTCGCACAGCTCCCAGATCCTCTATCTGGTCCCTTTGGGGGCGCTGTGGGCTTCTTCTCACTCTGATCCCTTGGCTGTGTGAGAAAACTTGCTCTTGTTAATTGTATGCAATTGTGCTGCTTCTCATCTTCTTCTAAACCATGTATGTAACTGTATTCCCTCCATCAATTCCCATTACTTACTCAGACAGCTCCTGGATTCTCAACTCCCCCACAGTCCATCTGTAGAAGAATCTACATTAAGAGATGATTTACCGTAGCTTCTCCTCATCCCTCCACTGTGACTACAAAAGATGGCAGCTTTCCCCTTACTGCCACTACCCCAGTGCTCAATGCTAATCAGTTATACTGCAGATTGGATATTATCATTTCTTTGGGTTTTTTTCCTTCACAATTAAATGAATCCAAAAGCAATGACGCTGTCATAGAAATAGCTCCTTATTTCCATGGCAATCCTTGCTTGCCCCAATTCATCATCATTTGGTGTTACTTTTTCAGATTAAGTGGCATCTCAGTGGTATATGGTCTATCAAATATGCATAACTGAGAAGAGAGTTGGATGTTAGGTTAAGAGATTGCATCAATGCTATGACTTGTGATTAAGTGAGAAGCCAGTGGTCCTGTTCCCCCCAGGCTCAGCACATAAGCTCATAAGCTCAGAGAAGACACTCACATAGAACATATATGTTGTATACTGAGTGCCTCCAATGTGCCAGGATATAAGACAGACACAGTCCTACCTGGGGGAGAGATCACTGTCTAACGTGGAAAACACACATACACATATACAGGATAATGAACATTATCCTAGTGTTATGAAAGCTATAGACTGTGATCATAATAAAAAGGAGTCTATTTTTCAAAGATATGTCAGGGAAAGTTAGAGGTCCTGACATTTAAGTCGAAGCTGAAAGAATGAGAACAAAGTGTTATTAAACATGGGGATTTGGATCAGAAGGAAAAAGTTATGTAATGAAAACCCTAAGACGAGAAGAACCTGGGAGGTTTGCAAAACTGAACGAAGACAGTGAGGTTAAGACTCAATGAGGGAAGGAGGGATGAAATCAGACAGGTGGGTGGGGGCTAGAGTTTACAACGTTTTGAGGTCACTGTCATGATTTGGGACTTTAAGCAGGACAGTGACATGACCTTATCTGTCTTTTAAAAAGACAGTTGTTATCCACTAGATGCTTTGCTGGAGAAGGAGGGGCAATCTCCTCCTGTACCAGTCAGATCTGATTTGATGGCACACATGCACACACACATAATAATAAAATAAAAAAAAAAGACAGTTGTTGCCCTGAGGTCATCAGTAATTCCATTAGTATCTATTAGCTCAAATCACTGTCTGGAGCTAAGGAATCTCTAAAAGTTACTAGTATACTTTCTTCCTCCAAAGGGGAACTTGTAAGCAGGATCTAAGGAAGTAAGTCTTCCTTGTTTGTGAGCTTAGCCCTGGGATGAAAAACAGTAACTTGTTCCTCAGAGCTCTGTCATAGTGTTTTTGTCAATAGACCACAAGCTCTTTAAGGGCAGGGCAAAGTCGTATTCATTCATACTGCCAGCTCTTGACACATGGCTCTGCACAGAAAAGGATGCCAAGTGTTCCAAGAATGAGCAGATGAGGCACTGATCTCTAAGCCTAGCAGCTAAGGTAAAGGATCTGGGCTTCCCTCAACGAGGAGCAGGAAGACTTGAGGGGACTCATGCAACTGGGTAAGCACAAGCAAACACATCAGTGTCTGGGGGACCCTCTCTGAGGCACAACTTCACTTTTGCAAAAGCATTTCTTTGAGGTGCAAGATTTTTACAGAACTAATGAGCTTCAGCATACTCTAAGTGAAAGGTGACACTTTCACCCATGTTTCTTTTTCATACGGAATCCAGTATTTCTTTCCCATTTCCAGGTCAGTTCCCTCTGTGATAATACTTGAGAGTACCTCTGTCCCAAGGTGTGCTGCCTATGAAGCTTACCTTTTTTTTCCCCAGTGAAGGGCACAAAGTCTTCCCTGTCTTTTTGTTCCAAAGCCTCTTTCTCCAGGTACATGAGCAGGTGCTCACGGTCAAACGGGCCGGTGGCTGCTTTCTGTGTCTGATCCTTCTGCCGGAATCCAGCTGGCAACAGTGCACTCTGAGAAGACAAGAGGAGAGAGCACGAGGGGAGCGGTGTGTGTTTGAGTCTTTGTTACTTTCTCTTATCACCCCATTTTCTGTGTACTGAGGAAGTAGGTGTAACTGCTTGGGGTCACCTGTGGAGGTGAGTAAAGCATTGTGGCTTCTGGGGGATTTCTGAGGCCCTACTTGCTCTGATAGCTCATGCTAAGGGGAGGACACTCTGCATAGCCTGAGGCCTCTACAGGCCTTATATTTGGTAGCAAAAGACCAGCCAGCCTTTATAGCCCCTTTCATTATCAGTTGCACTCAGGTTTGATTGCACAGCACCTGCAATGCTCCCAGACAGGTATACAGATTCTAATAAGAAGCCAGTATGTATATCTAGCTGCTGCCAGTGGATTCTTACTCAAGGTGACCCCCCATATTGTAGAATAGAACTGTGCTCCACAGGGTATCCAACGGCTGTGACCTTTTGGAAACAGAAAACCATTTTTTCCTCCCAAGGAATCTCTGAAAGGATGTGAACTACCAATCTTTCAGCTGGCAGCTGAAAGCTTAACCATTTGATCCACCTAGACTTTGTCAATATAGTTGCAGCCTCTTATTTCTAATCCATCTTCTGGGGTAATGGTATGGTATGAAATATTATGGAAGATATTAACACCTAACTGATTAAACTCTGATATTTCTTCCTCATGGTTAAAAAATAAAAACAGAAGGCTTGTATATTTTAAAGGATATCTGAATGAAATACAGTATCTAGCACGTCAAAATATCATCTAAATAACTTGATTATAGTGACATCTCAATTTATAGGAAATTCACTATTTTGGATTCTCCTGATTCTAAGTCCAAGATCATATCATTGGGGCTGATGAAAGTGCTTGCTAAATGAACAAGAAACTAGTTAGCTTTTCAAGAACTCATAAAATGCATTAGAAAGGCCATTTTCATCTTCCTAATATTAGTAGTAAAGCCTGTGGCCCTCGGGTCTGGTTTAAATTGTTCTCTGTCAAACATTCTTCTAACATGGTATAGCACTGGTCTGTTTATTTGCTGTACAGAGGTAACTCGTGGTTGCTGTGATGTTAAACACTGTGACATTAATGTGCCAAAAGCGATAATGGTTACCCGTGGTGGACAGTGTTTGGTGGAACTCCCCGATTAAAACAAGCTTCGAAGCTGTACATCTTAGCAGGTGGAGACAGCCTATCTTTTCCCCTCAGATGCACTAGTGGTTTTGAACTGCCTGAGACACTTGACCTTTCTGGTGAGCAACATTATGCACTACAACACCAGAGCTCCCTTTGTCATTTACAAGTGCAGGGTATTATTTAAATGGGCTCTTCAAGCCTGTCTCTTCATTTATGAAATGGAGATAATAAAATTTACCTCAAGGGCTGCTGTGCTGAACAGAGTGTTTGAATCAGAGGGAACCTTATCAGGTTGTTCACTTCCCTCTTCTCTTTTTACTTTGTCGCACCAACTCTTCCACAACCAGTGGAAAATACTTTTCTCTACTTGAATATAATTGTTTTTTGAGAGAAACTTTTGCTACATCACACTGTAGATAGACTACTAAAGTTCTCTATGAATGAGTAAATATAAGTGATCCACAATCAATGCAGGGGAAAACAAAGTTTCCTCTGAGCCACCAGATTCCAACTTTATTGTTTAGGGACCAAGCCTTACCGTTCATCCCACACTACCATTAACCACCCCGCTTCAATTCCATGCCGCTAACCTCAGGATCTAGGTCATCAAGAACATTTTCCAACTGTTTCAGTTCCTCTTCTGAGAGTTTGCCAAGAAGCTCATCTTCGTCAATGTTCTTGTATTTCTCCAGCTCTTTCTGAAAAGGGAGTGCCATGGCTCCTTAGATGCCTTTCTCATGGGTCATGAACATTTAAATGAGCCACCTTCTTGAGATTTCAGAATACTGTGAATAAGAAAAAAACCCACTGTCATCTCTTTATTAAATAGTTCACTGAAAGGCAGCATTACTTAAGTTTACTTAGCGCCCACACAGCTTACAAAGTACTTTCTATTTGTTATTCTATTTTATCTGAATCTTTACGACAATTCTGCCAGGAAACTTGGGCTGATATTATCATTTCTATTTTATAGACGAAGGTTCTGAGGAGAGGGTGGCCAAGTGCCTTGCTAAAAGTCACAGAGCAGCGACTGTGCCAGGCCCTGATTCCCAGTGTAGTGAATGCCTTTCCCCCATACTACTGTGCACCCCTCCGCTTTCCAGAGAAAAACAGCAAAGAACAATGTCCCAATTGTAAGGCAGTTGTAAGAAGCATACTTGAGTCTTTTCAGGGAGAGTGATGTAAAGAATACAAAATGGGATTCATTCAGGAAAGTTTGGAAAGTCCATTTGAGAACTCAAATTCCAGTAAACGTCCTGCAGTGAAACTAAGAAAGATTCTAAAATCCTGTTCACATAATCACCTCCTCCATTTTCCTCTTTGCTTTTCTTCCTTCTTTACCTCCCATTCTTTTTCTGTTCCTGCTTTCTATATCCTAATTCTTCTTTCTTCCCATAGTGCAAGCTCTTTCCAAGCCCTTCTTTTTTTGCAATTTTTTTAATTAAATTTTATTAGTTTTAATGAACATTTACAGAGATTTTGGGTTTTCATTCATTCATTGTTGCACTGTTTTCTCCACACTCATCCCCAGTTTGTTCTTCTTCCCCCCCATGCCTATTTTAATTGTCCAATTGCCAAAGTGCTTGTCAAAGCCAGTTCTGATTAATCTCCTTTGTCAGTGTGTCCCTTGCCATTCCCTATCACTCCTCCCTGAGAGAGACTTCACCCTGATTCATAAGGAAAAGGGGATGGCGTATTCTCTTAGCTACTTCCTGCTGAAAAGGGACGCTGTGGGTTTCAGGGTGAATGTCTTCTCTCACTACTCTAAAGGGCCCCCTTGGCAGTAGGGAACACATAGACTATTATGGAGATTGATTTTGGAATTTAGATGCACTGTTATCAATTGTGCTTAGCTGTACATGTTCATATCCTTGAAGATGTATCATGGAAATGTTGCAGCCTAGAAGATACAAATTTAACTAACAAGTTAAAAGTGCATGAGTCAAAAATTGAAAAGCAATAATATTCTGAGCAGAAGTTCTAATAGTGGCACAAATCAAGTTACAGAGGTAAGGTGGTTCCATTGCTATCCTTACTCGAACTTAATTCTTTTTTTAAAAAATTTAAATTTGTTATTAATTTCAGTGAAAATTTACAGAGGCTTTGGATTTCCATTCATTCATTCTTGTAGATTTGTCCCCTCCCAAGGCTCGCCCCCACCAGACATTACTCTCTTGGAAAAGTAAAAGAAAAGATTCTTTCATTATTTCACAAACCCTCCCCCAGGTCCACTCCACCATGTAGCCATCACTCTAGACTCCTGTCATGACAGAAATACCTAATCACATATCTCTTTTAAACAGTTTTCTCCCTTCTCTGTTTCAGAGCAGCATACATTATTGAACCCATCTTACTCAGTCTCTCCCCAACCCTAAGGACAGTCCCATTCTTCAACAATGGCACCATGCAATATTTGTCCCTTTGTGACTGGGACATTTCATTCAGCATAATGTTCTCCAGAGTCAACCATTTTGAGTAATATTGCATTAGTTCCTCGTTTTTTAATGCAGCATAGTATTCCATTGTGCGAATATACCACAGCTTCTCTAGCCATTCATTTGTTGATAGGCACCTAGGTTGTTTCCAACTCCTTGCTATTGTGAACAAAGCTGCAATAAACATGGGTGTGCATATATCTGCTTGGGTGTCAGTTATGGTCTCTTCTGGGTATATTCCCAGTAGTGGTATTGCGGGGTCAAATGGTATCTCTATTTGCAACTTTTTGAGAAAGCGCCATAACGCTTTCCACAGGGGTTGCACCATTTTACACTCCCACCAACAGTGAGTCAGGGTTCCAGTTTCTCCACAACCTCGCCAGCATTTATTGCTTGCTGTTCTGTTAAATTTTTCTATTTTGACTGGGGTAAGATGATATCTCATAGTTGTTTTAATTTGCGTCTCTCTTAGGGCTAGGGATTTTGAGCATTTCTTCATGTGCTTGTTAGCCATCTGAATGTCATCTTTTTTTTTTTTAAAATTTAGGTTGTTTATTTTTCATTTCAATGAACATCTACAGAGATTTTGGGATTCCATTCATTCATTGTTGCACCCTTCTCCCCAACCCCTTCTCTTAATACACCTCACTCCTAAATTTCCACTCAGTGATTTCCCCCCGACTCAATCCATTCCTTGTTGCAAAGAATTATACAGACCTTCTCTAAAAAAGAAAACATTGCATTCGGTAAATAATAATAATAATAATGCATCTAATTATGCTTCTCATTAGAAATTATGAGAAATGAGTTATTAAAATTCAGGCACTAGTCTAGCAAATGAGGACACAAAGATGAACAAAATATGAACAACTCCGCTAGGAGATCCTTATTTAGAGAGACAAGCATACAAAAAGTAATTAACAGCTCAGGATAAATATTATAGTAGAAGTCATGTAAATTGTGTTTATAAACACAAAAGGGAATAATCATTGGATGAGAAAGGGAGGTTTATGAGGACACTGTGGAAAAGACATGGCATTTGAGCTGAGAAGGAAGAGATCTTATTATTGTGGACATGAGTGGGGTCAGGTCATCCCAGGAAAAGGGGCAAATTAAACAAAGGCATGATGATATGAAAGTACATGATATGTTAGTAGTTTCATGAGACTAGAGGGTAGGATTGGGGGGGTAGGGGAGAAAGAAAAGTAACTAAAGATAACTGTGAAAGGCTTATTTCATATAAAGAAGAAACTTGGGCTTAACTCAGATGAAAAATAGGGAATTATAAATGATGAGCAGATTTGATTTTTTTTATAAGGCCACTGATATCCTAAGAATCAGGAGTAAATTGATATAGAAAGAGACTGGAAGCAGAGAGATCATTGAAAGGCTATTAGAATACTGCTCCTGGACACTTATTTCACTGTTCATAGCATTCAAGTTTATGATTGTCTACTTAACAACCATTTTCTCATATAACGTAACTTTCTCATCCACTAGGTTTCATTTTTTAAGAGTCAACTGGTATACTCCAGTATAATAAACCCATCCCACTAAGAAAAACCAACTGGACCATAGGTTCCTGTTCTGGTTCTGGCTTCTACTAATTTAGTCTGCAACACTGGACAAAGATTTTAATTTCCTATGCCCTTATTCTCAAACGGAATGAATCCTATGATGCATATTAGATTTGGTGGCTTAGTGGTAAGGAATTGCTCTGACAACTCAAAAGTACGTGGTTTGAATTCATCGGCTGCTTCATGGAAGAAAATGAGCAATCTCCTCCTGTGGGATTTACTGCCTCTGAAAACCCACTGGAGGCTGCTCCAATTCAATGGTACACAACAATATGGGCTTAATTTGCTACATTTTAACATTCTGAGATTGATAAGCCTTAAAACTGACTGCATCCAACAATTACTGTTGGCCCATAAGCAGTCCAGATGTACTTATCATTGCCTCCAGATGGGGGTGGGGAACAACAACAAAAAAAGCTCCATCTGAAGAACTGGTTTCAAAGCTAGGAGATGGGGCGTCAAGGGAGAAAATCCTAGGGACAAATGTAGAATCTTTTGGTATCTTGAAATGAAACCACTACAGTAAGGCAGTGGAAGAGATGGTAACTCGGATGTATTTCACATACTCCCAAATAAGTTTCCATTTGTTGTTATGTGCCATTGAATCAATTTTCAAGCTGTAGTGATGTCATGTGACAGAGCAGAACTGTTCCACAGGGTTTTTCTTGACTACAATCTTTAAGGAAGTACACTGCCAGGTCTCTCTCTGTGGACTGGGTTCCAACTACCAATGTTTTTGGCTTAGTAACTAAAAGCTTGTCAAGGGATGATTTCCAAAAAAGGTCCAGGGGCCTCTTCGAGTAAGAACTAGAAAGTTCTGACTCGGATATACAAGAAAGACACCAATGCCAGGTGACAGCAAGAGAAAGAAACTGAGGTTTATTAGACGTTCATAACAGACTATGTATGGCTTAGGACAGACTGATCCTGTTTTTATCTTACAAAAGGGTTTATATATCCTTTGCTAGCAGAGAGTGGAGTTCACACAGCTGATGGTATATTCCTTCTAATGGATGGTGATTTTTGGCCATCTCCTTTGTCTTTTTCTTGAGTCTGTTGTTTTTGTCACATTCTTCGAGAGTCTGTTTTTATTGTCATATTGCTGCATGAGTCTGTTTTTATTATTCTATCTCCACAGACTTTGTCAAAACCAGGTCTGATTGATCTCCTTTGTCTGTGTTTCCTTAGCCATTCCCTGTAAGCTTGGCACCACAGGTGTCCTTTCCAGGTTGGGCTTTTATTGTCATGTATTGTTAAATCAGAACCAACTCACAGCTGACCCTTCAGCGGATTTTCAGAGGTTATAAATCACGCGGGAAGAGACAACCCAGAACTTTCTCCAGCAGAGCAGGTAGTTGATTCAAACAGCACAGCTTTTCTTTGGCAGTGCAATTCCTTACCACTAAGCCACCAATGCCCCCTTTCTTTGGCAGTGCAATTCCTTACCACCAAGCCACCAATGCCCCCTAATTAGTAAGCAAGTACATATAAATCTAAGACACAAAGAATAAATTATGATACACACATTTGAACCTCAAAACAATTATAATGTGTGAATGAAGACAGACCAAAATGAGTGTATACTACATTATTTCATTTGTCCAAAATTCTAGGCAATGTAAAATGATCTCTACAAAAGAGCTAAGCAGTTGCTTGGGAAAGGGCGCATAGGCGAAGTTACAAAAACTCTTGAGGGTTACAGATACTTGACTATGTGACAGTTACACAGGAATATGCATTTAACAAAATTTATCAAATTTAAATGTGTGCAAC